CAACGTATCCTAACAGTAGTCTGCGGTTCCACGCGAACGATTTTGGCAACTTGGCAGTGAGGTTCAGAGCCCTTCATATAGGGACTCCCCAAAAAGCACCCCTGATCTTAGGAAACTCCCATCTAGACCCTACATTTCCAAAACTCCAATGCTTCGACTGGTGACAACTTGGCAGCAGCATCCCTTTACTACGATACCACACTTCTGAAAGGCTTGAGAGACATCGTTCCAAAGAAGAACCGAAATGAACCTTAGCTGACCCTGAGGGTCAAAGGACTCAAGTAGTGGGGTTTTGGTCCCAAATAGCGTTCAGATTTTAGTGCTCAAGCCCTGAGACCCTAAATTTTTGAGTCCTTGGACCCTTAGGGTGAGCTGTAGACTGTAGACGTACTAAAAAGTACACACCCCGACGCCAAGCTGTCACAGCCCCATGGTCCCATGGCCCAAACGTGAAACTCTCATACTTGTTGCTGGTCGAGCTTCCGAGTGGTTCAAGGACCAAGCCTGGATCCACGTGTAGCGTTTAGGATTTAGGGGACCAACATACAACCTAGAAAAAAACATGATTCTATAGGGGACCGTGCGACTTCAAAACTCACAGAGAACTCAAAGCTTTTCCAAGAATGACCAGAAAGCATGCTGGGGAAGGAACTCCGAGGAAGAGTTGCCCACCTCTGGCGGGCTCACCTCCACAGGGGATGATTTGAGAATTGCTGCTAAATCTCTGCATATTATAGCCCTTTTGGAGGGGCCCTCTGTAGATTCCTAAGGTCCCCTCTGGGGTACGACGAGAATGCGCTTGACCGGTTTTCGACGTCTTTCAGTATTGTTCTTGTAATCTGCGCTTCCGCGCTCTTGGACTGCTGGAGTCTCAGCTTCAACCAGAAGCCAGGTTTCGGCTCGAGCTTCAAGGTTTAGGGATCTATGGCTCACCGATAGAAACAAATGATCTGTCAAGTAATCTGCTACATCCAACTGCCTACCAAGATATTTAGGAGCTTCTGAAAAAGTCCCTGAGTCATACCGCATAAGGACACCCATGATCCCATTATACTCCCTCATAATTTAGGGTGCTAAGGGGTACCATGAAAGATACCCATTTACGTGTATTCTGCTAGGCTTGGGGGCCGCGATTATCAGAAGGGTTCTAAATTCTACTGGGAATCAAACAGAAAAGACCATGGAAGAAATACGTGGACACTACTTTTTGGGTTCAGGGTTGAGGGACCACAGTGGCGAAGCGAGTGGAGAATACATGAAAAATGATGCGGAAGCTGGATTATATAGGGGACTATGGGCAGGGCTTGACCTACTGGATCGAGTTGTTTGTCGGCATGATCGGCTCTGTACCTTATTGCTCCTGTGTAATGGCCTTGTCTTTTTCAGGCTTGGGTTTTGGCAAGATGCATTGCAAACTTTCACCCCCCAGGTTAAGCTCGGCAATTCTGGCCAACAGTGCCTTGGTTTGAAAGGGTGACGTCTCAGATTTCCTAGTGGTTCTTAGTAGGGAATAAGGGAAGATGATCCCTATGCAACCCCTGTATACTATATGCCCATATTCCCTACTAAGAACCAGTAAGATGCGGAGTTCAAGGTTCAGATTACGCGCTGAGTAGCCAAGATTTGAGGACCTCATCACACCCAAGCAAGGCTTACAGGTGTTTTCTATACAGCGCTGCTGAGAACTGCAACTACGCCCATTATAAAATAAGCCGCCAGAAGTGCAGTAGGGCTTTGAGATTGAACATCTGTTTATAGCCAGGCGTAGCGGCTGAAGGCAAGGGTACTTCGAACTGCATACTTGTTCAGTTTGTGGGCACTTGCATGGGTAGGTAACCCTTGCATGAACAGTCCCTTGCATACCCAAACATGACAATGAAAGTCTCTATCACAAGGGCCAAATCAAACAGGCCACCCGCGATTCTAAGACTCAACTCAGATTGTCGGGGTTTGAGGAACAAGGCTGTAGTTAAACTTCTAGGCTGAAGTTGCTGAGCTCTGCCTAGGCTTGTTTTCAGGACTGTTGAACCCATTTAATTTTCCGTTTTCTTTTCCATTCGATTTTTCCATACTTGTGGGATTTATCCTCTCCCCTTCAGATCCATCAGACCTCTGGATCTGCTCCTAGATGCCTAGTGCGGAAGTGGTTTGGGTTTAGGGTTTAGGGTTTAGGGTTGGAAACTACTTTAGTATATTGGGGTTATATGGGGATAATGGAAAATAAAATGGAAACTACTATAGTATATTGGGATAATGGAAAATCAAATGGAAACTATATATATATAGTAGATTGGGATACTGGATCATCAAATGGAAACTACTATAGTATATTGGGATAATGGAATTAAAATGGAAACTACTATAATATGTTGTGATAATGGAAAAGAAAATGGAAACTACTAGAGTATATTGGGATAATGGAAAAGAAAATGGAAACTACTATAGTATATGGCCTACTTTGAGTTGGGCTGCTTTCAGTGGCCTTGTCGTCAAAGAAGCAGCATCCCATCCATGGAAGTTCACCGCATGTTTCCATGTTCAAGCTCGGGCTCAAGAGGCACAGTAATGTGTGCAACACAAAGTAGGGTTTAGGGTTTAGGGTAGTAGTTTCCATTTTCTTTTCCATTATCCCAATATACTATAGTAGTTTCCAATTAATTTTCCATTATCCCAGTATACCATAGAAGCTTTTTTTCAGGCTTTTCTGAAGTTTGGGGCCAATTCGAAGAAAGCTTCGGCTGCAACAGGTCCAGGGTATTTTGTATTCGGGCGTTTCAGCTTGATCAAATGTTGCAGCAGCAACGCGAGCCAACATCTTCTGTCAAGAGGACTTGCTCTCTCTAGAGAGCGGGCTTGGCGTTTTATTATGATGCCAGCCAGCGAGTGGCTCGGCAGGTGGACTGTCTGCACGTCAGGGCGTGTTACAAAGAGCCTTGTCCTGGTAAGTACGCAGCATACTGGTCGAATCTGGTCGAGCCTTGTTTGCCTTAGGATTGTAGGCAGGGGTGGTCACCAGGAGCCGGGCATTTTAGTTCTCTTTCCAAACCCTTGGCTTAGACCACAGTCAGAGGCAGAGGATACTCTGACCAAAGCCACAATGCAATCTAAAGCAATCCCAGGCTCTGAACTCACTCCCTGCGTTGAAAACGTGTCTAGGCTGCTGACACACAATGTAATCTGCCTCAGACCTTCTGGTTCTGAAAACCACTGGGCTGCCACTAGATGTCTGAACCGATTCTGAAATGCGTGCACTTAGTGCTGGCCCTGATGCTGTATCAAGAGGGCTTGTGTTACAACAGAACAAAATTCCCGAATTTTTGGGCAAATAGGCATCTCCCTCGTACGCCCCTGGCCAGTTCCAAGCAAATGAAGCATAGGTTAGGCGGACCCCGCACCCAGCAGTAATAGCGCCTATGAGGGATAATGGTGATAATGCTACGATCCTCTTATATTCTTATCACTATTGCCGGGTGGGGGGGGTCCACCTGAAGCTGGGTTCTTTTCTCAACGACTCGCTCACGAAAAACATGCAGGTCATCCCAGAAGACGAGGTCCTGCAACAGCGGCGCACTTGTAAAAGTGCCAGTGCTGCATTTATAGCCGCACCCAGTTATATAAAACCAATAATACTTACCATGAGTCTGTCTGATAGCTGTGGTGGCAATAAATAGCAGCAGCCGTTTTTGCTGCAGCAGCTGCAGCTGTAGCAACAGAAGTGGCAACAGCAGTAGGAACGCCAGCATAGCTGCAGCGGCAGAAGCAGAAGGAGGATAGCCTTCAGACTAGCTGAAATGCAAAATTCAGGATCCATAATCTGCCATCTGCAACCTTTGGATGACACTTAGGCAAGTATGCTCTCGGGTGTGACCCCGGTCCAAATGCGAGACAGTTGGGGCCAGAAACAGAGAGGATGTCAAGCACTGCATCTAAGACCTCAAATGCTTTATCATGTTCATCATCCTTTAGGAGGACCCCCTACCTCGTAAGAGTGGTACAGTAGGAATATGTAGGAATATAAGAGGACCCTAATACAATCACCATTATCCTTTGTAGTCTATATTACTGGGTGGGGCGTCCACCTAAAGCATCCTGTTGTCAAAGATGTCGGCGAAGGAATCCAGCCCCTCAAAGTACCGCAAATACAAAATCCCTTCAATCCGAGCCAATACACACATATGTCTCTACTACTCTTATTCGTAGATCCTCATAAAATTACAAATGTTCAGGGCTAGTCTCTCTCAAAGATAAAGATTTCCTGTGTACTCAAAACTGAGGCCACAAGATTGCACCTTTCTGTAATTCTGACTGTCAATCCACTGTACTTTCAAACTGAGGGTGAGCAGTTTCCTGGAACATGTGTTTTTATCTAGCGACGCATTCGGGAGCCCGCAAAAGAACAACAAACATAACTACCACTCTTGCGATTTCTTGCGGTTGCTGGCACTAATACTATGATGAATACTCTCGTGCTTCTGCTAAATACTACTGACTGCTACATCCATTGCTGACAGACATAAACAGTCATGATAATCGCAGCAACACTGTTGCAGATTAACGAGCGCCAGAAGCACGTTTGAATAGAAACAAGAACAACGACGTTACTTCTAGCAGTTGTACTAAGCACAGCAAGTCGCAAAAACAATACAGCCCCACGATGAGTGGGTTTGTCAGAAAGAGCTGAGCATTTACAGGGACAACCGAGGAGTTGTCATTGTGTAAGGCTCAGCTTGAGACATTCCCATTTTTCCTGTCGAGTAACATCTTTTCTGGTGATTGAACATAATAAGATCAGAGTCTGCCGGGGGAAAAAAAAAGTTACGATACCCCAAAGAAGGACATCATCTGACTCTATGTCGGGACTACAGGGATCCCCAAACAAACTCTACTTGAGCTATAGTCTAA